TGTCCTTTTCAAATTTTGGGCCAGAATGAAAGAAATGAAAACTCTGTGGCTAAAATGCATGGAAAATGAGATTTATATATTGTTTTTTTAATATTTAAATATAATATTTTAAATATATATATTTATTGAGTGATTAAATATATGACTCGTACACACACGATGTTGCCATTTTCATTGCTCGATCTGGCCTATACTCGTACAAAACATGTGCCCATTTTTAAGCAAACACAACTCATAAATTTTGACCTTGTTTTCCTTTTCTTTCACTTTATCCATTTCTCCTTTATTTTCATTTTGGCCTCTTTTCTTCTTCTTCTTTTTATTTTGGCCCCTATATTAAAAAATGAGAGAAATTTATTGTCCTTTTTGTATATGACTTTCTCTTGATTTTTTTTTAAAAATTCAATGTAAATTCGTTAAGAAGAGAGAACCATTTTACTACAAGTTATGAAATCTACACGACAACTTCGATAAATACGACAAAAAATACCATAAATCCCTAACTAAACACCAATCAATGCCATTTAGCAATATTTTTTCCAACTAAATATTGCTCTCATTAGTTATACAAATAAAATAAAAAATGCAACAATCAAATGGAATGAAATGCAAATAATATAAAATTTATCAAAATATATAAAATTACATTAATATGATTCATATCTATACTCTTCCATCTTCCACTCTCCCATCATTTCACATCACCAATTAAGGAAATTGACAAGACACAAGTTAGGTCAAACTATAAATGAGATGGCTCCTATTCTATCATTTCTTAGTAAGTGTGAAATGCGAATCACAAATATGGAAATTAAGAAAGAAGAAGAAGCATTAGTGATAGGGAACATATCACGTGGGAATCAAGTTAAGCACAATCTTGGTAGCTAGGTAGGGTAATATTGGGCATAAAGAAACAAGGTTGATATCTTCAATGCCGTTCTTTTATTTATGGACATGGGAGTTGAGGATGAGAATACAGAGAATCAGCCATCACTTTGGACCAAATATGTATGGTAATGGTAATATCACCCAATATCATAAATGCATCACACATATTGTGCTGTCCCTCGTACAATTCATTAGGCAGATGCAAAAGGGGTGAGGTTAGGACCACCGAAATTAATAATGGACCATACACAATTTCATGTCCCCATGAAAATCACAACTCATACATGATCATGACACCAACGAACTTTCATGTACGTTGTTTCTCAATATATTCATTAAATTTCATGTTCCCATAAAATTTGATTTAATTTTAAAAAAAATAAAATTGTAAAAATTTCAAGTTGTTTAAATTGTTTGTCATTTGAGTTAACTTAAATTTGTAGATTTTGAATAATTAAAAAGTTGAAAAAATAATATCATTTTGATCTTTAATTAAGTAATTTAATTTTTAAGTTCATTTTTTATCAATTTGAACTACACGTTCCTAAAAATTATAGAACATCTATATAGCTCAAAATTTCTTTTTGACAATAATTTCTTTATTTTTTTAAATAATCCTTTAACTATGTATGATTCTATTATTCTTCGATTCATCATTCCTTTTAAGTTTTTTGATAAAATATTAACCACGTACTCTGATACTCCTATACTACTTTAAAATACTTATGTAACTTTAATTTATCCTTTTGAGAACAAATTTCTTAATTTGTAGTTTAATCCATCAATTTGATATGATTCTATAATTTCTTTGATTTCTCCTTCGTTTTAAATTTATTTTTGACCAATTTGAACAAAATATTCCTATACCACTTTAAAATACATATAACTTCAATTGTTTTTTGACAACAATTTTCTTTTTTTCAATTTAGTACATCAACATTATGTTTTATTCAATCTGGGTCTCATACCGTAAGTCTTTGCAAAATATTTCTTCCCATCAATTCCTAGATTCCCACTTCGATTCTTTGTCCTCAAAATTATTTCTTTAAAAATAACATTGTAAATATATTACATAATTATAGATGATATTTAATTTATTAAATAACATTATAAATCTTGTTTAGACATATGAAAAAAAAGAATATAAAGAATATATGTATATTGTATATAGGTAGAGAGAATTATTTAAATTAGAATCAACACGTACTATAACATTATAAATAATTAAATTTAAACTTGATATAAACTCAAACAAATATATTCGATCTAATCAAATTTCATATATTTAAATAAAAAGTTTAAATAATTTAAATAATAAAATTATATTCATATGCTCAGTTAATCTAAACTTTCCTACTTGAGTCAATTGAAAATTTACTAACTTGTTAACTAACCGCATGCATGTTCAAATGCTATGAGCCAGGAACCTAGATAACATCAACTTGTTCCTATTTTCTAAGATTTCGCTTTGACTAATCCGAATCGATCCGTGTTTACACTTGATTTAGTGGGTGAGTATTCCAACGGAGATTTTCTGTATACATATAGTCTTGTACTCGAGATTTACTTAAGAGATATTAAATTGTTTATCACTTGAACCAACTCAATAATTAACAACCTTCTCCATTTAACATCATTAAGGATGCTATCAGGTAGGGAAAGATGTCTCATTTTGTTTCGTTAAAATCCTTTGATTCTTTCAAAGTGGAAGGTTCGTTCATCTCGGACCAAGATAAGATTAGGCAAAGCTTGAAGAAAGTAAAAATTGGAATAAAATTATAGCTCAATGCTTAAGAATAACACAACTTTTGTACGACTTTAAATAAAATAAAAAACATTAATGTGTCAAAGAACCAAATATCATGAAAACTTTAAATTAGCACTATGTTGTCGGCAAGACATGTACATGATATTACAATCATATCATGATCACATGCTATTAAAGAAACAGATAATTTACACTCATATTACTGGAACTCGGATATAAATATCACATGTATTTGGATACATCACCTCATGAAGAATAAAGAGTCAAAAGCAAACTCAGTCTTCTGCAGAATAAGATACTTGCATTAATCCCCTTCATGATTTCATTTCTTCCTATTCAGTGGGAACTGGTTTTAACCGAAAAAGAAAGGGGAGATAATACCTAAAAGAAGTGAAATCTTTCTTATTTTATGAATCCAGTCTCACTCCAATCCAATATGTTGGTTCTCCTGATTGCCTTCATTGTTGAAGTGTGCAATTATTGCATACAAAGATGGACCGAGTGGGCGGTTGGGGATAACCCTCCATTATTTGATAAGTTTGTCGCCCAACACAAAACCTTACGTACGTCCTTTATCATATAATTATACATTTCCCAGAATTGCATCACATCGTCATCAAATGCTTAAATACTATAATCTTTTCACAAGAAAATAGTAGAGAATAGCATAGCATAATTGCAGCAGTCATCAAGGTCCCTACTCCCTTTTCCCATGGGTAGACCATTTCATCACGTGTTATCACATCGTGGAATCGAAAAAGAAAGTAGTAATAGTTTATATCATTGTTTTCTTTCTTTTTTGTTGAGCATTAGTGAATATGTTCATTTGACAGTAGTATACAATATTTCCAACATCACACACATCTATAAGTTTGTCGAACATGTTTTCCGGTCAACTCAGTTAAACCAGTAAGGCATTGAAGAACTGAACTTCGGCTTAAAATGGGCCAAGTCATTTGGCTACTCGCGTGAAATAAATGTCAATACTACATCTGACAGTACCTCTTTTGCAGGATTAAAAAGAGATGATCAGAATCTGCTTCTGCCATAACAAACTAGAAGCTAAACAAATCCAACTTGTTTTTCAAGGTCACGAAGAAGACACTGATGGTTTTGAGATTGGATGATGGAATATAGCTGAAGAATTAAAGATGGCTTCTTTTGAAAGTCCATTACTTTGTCAAGTCGATAGTCCCTGTCGTATATTCTCTTGATATCTTTCCTCCATTTGATATTCACCTCACTGAAACTAGCATAGATATGACCACGTTATAATGGGTCTTCTTTCCATATCAACGACTTCAATAATGATTTGTAATGGGAATTAATTGTTTCAAATTCTAAACTTGAATTGTATTTAAATATTTTTAAAAGTTAAATATATATATATATATATATATATAAACCACAGTTAACAACATGTCATAATTATTTCAAAACAATTGAAATGATTAAAAAATAAAATTTACAAACAATCACTAAATTATTTTAATATGATCTTTTTAAATATTAAAATTTCTAAAATCATAAAATAAAATAAAAATTTTATCATAAAATAAACACCTTGTCATTAATCACGGTGCCTCAAAATGATTAGAAGTATTATTATACACCAAACATTTGAAATAAATGTGGCTCTCCTGTAGGGTTTATATATTTTATACAAACTTGCATTGAAATAAAAATAATTTATAATTTTCATATATATTATTTTTTAAACACTTTCTACCTAAGGGAAAGGAAAGCTCATGAGTTTTTTAAACACTTTCATATATACAAACTTGCTCTTAATGAGTATTGAACCCACAATCTAGGAGAAAGGAAAGCTGTCAACTGAGAGCTTTTAATCACCTGCTCTACAGATTGAGGCACTCATTGGATTATAAATTCAACAACAGAGTATCAGTGGCCAACATAACAAAATAACTTTCACCCTTAACAAATACATAAACACCATCTCAACCTGTTTTCCCCAACTTAGCCCATTTCCATTCTACTTGAACACAAGCCCGGTTATTCGATAAAACAGGGTTTTATCAACACCAGACATCAATGGTACCAACAGAGTAAACAACAGGCTATGTTTTCTTCCACATTCAAAAAGTCGGGTTTGTTCCCTTCAAATTTGCCTTCATACTCGTGAGCTTGATGTTAAAATCATGTCTCCAACATGATGTGCCACCAACAAAGCAGAGCAGAATTTCCATGTGTGGAGTCGCAGAATACTAAAACGTAGTACGAGTTACCTCTTAAGGTTTTGATTCGGATAGCACAGATGGTCCAAGGGTAATTGTCAGCTGGGGGTTCTTGGTACATGACTTGATAGGGGTAATTGGTGTTGTTGCCACTGTTTGACTCACTTGGGATCCACAACTCTGTATACTTGATAATACTAATTAGGAGGCAGTGGAAGTAAGCCATGATCTTCCCACCTGAAATTTATTACATTAAGAATGAACAAGAGGTTCTCCTTAATCTTCAGATCATAATTAGAAAGAAAAAATCATGATTCATGACTTAGTTGAAGAACAAGTAAGCCAGCAATGCAAGAACTCCATAATCAGATTTAGGTGAATTCTCACTCAGACCAAATGAACACATGAATATTTGATAAATGTTTCTAGTAACGCTTATCAAAAGGAAGAACCCTTGTAAGGGGTTGGGAGACGAAGTTTGATCAAGAATGATCAGCTGGAGAATTCCAGATCACTTTCTCCCACATTTAAGCAGAAAAATTGAATAATGGCCAGTTTGAAAGTAAGACTCTCCACTGGATTGTTGTCAGTGTTGAAAAATATTACAGCACCCCTCTCCAACGCAGGGACAGGATCCATTTAGTTCCATCACTGCTCCAACGTATCCTAGTTTTACAAAGATGAGTATTACACTCTAAAAGTGCTCAAAGGTTTCAAGCATCAGAAAATTAATATGATCAACGTGCTGCATATGCGGCATCAGAAAGAAATCTAAATAAATCCAATCATTGCCAAAACATTGAAAAAATCCCAAGACATTAACATTTAACAATCAACACTTGATCTTAGATGAACACAACTAACCTTTTGGATGCAAGGAATACACCAAGAAACAGCAGAATCGATACAATCACTAAGCTGAGGATGCTCTGTCCTTTGTCTATCATTTTGATCTAGCTCCTCCTTTCACAATCACCTTAATCAATGCACACAAGTAACAGCATTAAATTTACATAAATTCTATCCATACAAAAATAAACTAATCCTTGTAACGTATATTTTAGCACGATAAAGTCTCGGCCATTCATGTCACCCTTTCAAATTTAACCATTTATATGCTCTAAATTTACTTCTGATCTAAGTTACAACATAATGATCAAAAATATTTGAACTATTAAGAATCCCAATTGCTTCAACTTTCACTCATTTACCAGTCCATAAATTCCCATCAACTTAAATATTCAAGACAAATATTTCCTAAAATATCTTCTTCCTTTTAAACAATAACCAGTCGAAACTTTTTTTATAAAAAAATTAAGTCAAAGCAAGGAAGTATGTACCTTTAACAGATTGGTTATCTTTCTTTTCCATTCAACCACCTGGGTAAAAAAAAAATCATCCTGTTGCTCGTCGCAGTTTAATTTCTGACACCATTTTTAAGGTTATATAGAAGAGAAAGGATGCTGAAATTACCTTAAACTTTGAACGCTTCTTCAAATTTAGATAACAAATATGGTAGTTCTACTTCAGAAACTAGGAAACGGAGTTAAAAATGTACAATATTATGATCAGATGTAGGAGAAATACAAAGAGGACAAGCGTTCGAAGGTTATTGCATGCATAAAGTAAAATATACAAAACTAAAACTCCTAACAACATGAACATCAAGAACAGCAAAAGGTAAAAAGGGGAAAAGAAGGTCAATATTTACAGAAAATTTTAGGACTGAACAGCATTGCAATCAAGCAACTTAAAGTTAGTAGGGGCGTTAGGTCCGCGCAGCTTCAACGCCGCTTGATCATAAGCAACAGCCGCTTCTTCCGCCGTATCGAAAGTGCCAACCAATGCCTCATCCTCCGGCCATCCCTAATCTCCGCCGCCCATCTTCCCCACGGCCTTTGTCTCACCCCTATGTACCTCTTCACCTTTTCCTGGCTCGACCCCACTATCACGTCGTTCTCTTCTCCGAAACTCCGATTATGATTTCGTTGACAAGCTTTTTCTTAGGTCGCTTCTGGGTTTTCTTCGGTGAAACCGCTTCGTCGTCGCTGGAAGAATCGGTAGCGTCGGCGTCCGCAACGATTATTCGAACAATTCGTCGGGAAATCGGATGTTGGGGCTCTCCGTTAGGCTGCGGCGGCGACGACATAATCTTTAGGGCTCTTTTTAATTTAATTTATTTAATGAGAGAGAATGTGAAATTATATGGTTTTCCGTTGGAATATCTTTTGAATTTTTAAATCGCCTGCCATAAATATCAGTTGATATCGCATTTCATCCCATATCTTTAAGATGCGTTAGTTAGTGGTATTCCAACTAGTTTTGTTGTAATTTAATTTAAGATTAATTTAAAATAAATTTTAGTTTAAAATATTATTTAAATGAATCAATTATAAAATTAATTATTTTTATTTAAGTTATATATATATATATTTTAGTTCAAAGAAAATAATATTTAGTCACTTTTATTTTTATTTAATTAAGATATGGTAACTGAAAGTTAATTACTGTCAGACCTTTAACAAATTATTGACGTGATATAATTAATATATAAATTTAATAATAAACTAAACAAATAGTAACTAATATTTCAGTAAATTTTGTTTCCCTCGCTAAAATTTAAAAAGTAACAAATGATCGAGATCATTTTACATAATATATCCGAGAATGATCTGAATCGATACAGAACCCCGTCAATACAAAAGAAACGGTCGAAGCATTTTCATTTATATAAATCGATATATGAAGATTAACTTTCTCCTTAAAGATAATTCAACTCTGACGAGTGATGTAAAATAATGTGTGTTTAAATAAAATTTGTATAACTTGTAACTGAAAAAGTTATACATACTTCAATATTTTTTGTTGGAACAGAAAAATTACGTTGCAGTAAGATATTGTAAGGCTCCCATAATGTTTCGATAATGTTGAACATCTTAAAATAAAAGATCCATCATCTTTAGTGGAGTGGCTACTATATTTATATAATATTAAATTTTAATTAATTAACTCAATTAAGTATCTTATTTGTTTGAACTAATTTTCAAATATATATAATCAATTTTCGACATAATTAATTTTGTTGGCCGATCAACTAATTATATTCCGTTAAAACTGAGGTATATACTTACCCTGCTGATGGGGTAGATATTCTGACAAAAGTTTGGATAAAAATATATTGGAATGCAGGTGAAAGTGAATAAACTCAAATTAACCAAAGTAATTTGACATGGATGGAATTCATCTCTCATTGAGTCAGAGGAATTCAATATCTTGATCCGATCAAATTATGAAGGATTATTATAGTTTCCTAGTGTTCCATTTAAACATGCTTCGAGAACCACGATCAAAAGTTCAAATGCAGAGGGTCATCCAAAGTATAAAGCAATTCATAACTAGTTGCAGTACAACCATAATCATATCTTATACTCCCTCTCACTTGCAATGCAACCCGTCCTCGCACTCAAAAGTGGGGTAATCTGCCCCTTCAATCCCTTCCTCTTGCGGATATCAGCAACATGCACGGCTGCTTCCTAGGAACCATGTTCCAATGGCATCATGATCAAAACACACATTGTGTGGGAATGTTGCAGCCCTCAGAGTGCTAGAGAATCCAAAACACTCGATATAGTGGAGTACCAGGCCTCTGCATCCCAAATACATGTCCACGCTTCTGGCTAACAACACTGTAAATACCACCAAGTGTCTGCTCTGGGTTTGGATCTCCACCAAGTAAACTGCTCAAGCAGCCTTGGCTGACACTCGGCCGTTTTATTCAATTTCTTCTTTTTTATTGTAATTTTTACAAATTCTTTCTTTTTATAAATTTCTTTAATTTTTTTAATACTCTCATCAATTTTATCTTAACCGATTTCTACTAAGGAAGGAAAAAAAGATTTTACTAAAGAAGGGAAAAAGAGAATTCCGTTAGTATCAAACCCAAATCTAAGGGAAAGAAGAAATTAAGAACTGTTAACCATTTACTCTAAAAATGGTTAACCATCAATATTTTATCGTCAATTATAAATATATTTTATAATTTTAAATTGCACTTAATTTGTTAAATAACATTACAATCTGGAAAAAAATATAATTATATGCATATTTATATGATTTAAAAAAATCAATAAATTAAAATTAATACATATCATGATATTGTAAACAATTATAATTAAGTTCATAAAAAATTGGAACAACTCAACTCGGAAAAAGAATTATAAAATACGACCATTAACTCAAATAATTCAATATTTTAACTTGACTCGATAAATGCTTAGTTGCTCACCCCTAAGAATGATAATAGAGAAATAATGAAGATTTGATGCATGAACATTAAAATGATGAGAAATTTTAAATTATAACTCGTAAGAAATTATGTTGTGAGAAATAGAAGTCACATAAATGAAGTGAAACAACTTCTCATGATAGACAGCAGAGCCTGACCGAATCAGTGTATGCACCTAATCAACTTTGGAACAAGGCAGCAAAACATCCTTAATCAGTAATACAACTCATTCATAGCTTTCATTTTAGCGGGTATTATCCGACCACAATTTTTTTTTTGGGAAAATGTCATCTTTTAATGCAAAATTAAGATTTTTATTTTTTCCCAAAATGCATCCTTCAAAATGAATTAAGATTCCTTCTTTGCCAGAAAAAACGATCAACTTCGAGTCGTTGGATCTCTCGGCAATATTTGAACTCGGGGATCAGGAAACACGTAGGCAAATCTTTGGCCACGTCGCTGTAAGTTGCTCAAAGAGAGGTCTAATGTACGCCGGATAATTTCCTTTCGCTACAATACCAACCTAAAATACAAGATTATACACCAAGATTTCACGCAGCAGGATGCAGAAAGCATGGGGAATAATGGAAGTTGTTAGCCAAGTTCTTCGCATTGATAATTACCAGAATTCGGAATAACCGAATACTGCACATTACCAGCTATGCCGGTCAAGGATCTGGAGATTCTCGTTTTGTTTGGCTGAAAGATTGGAGATGTTTAATTAATTCCTTCAGTGACTCGGGTATTTGTGGAAAAAGGTCGGCTTCGCATCTGCAATCAGCTTTTCCTGCATAAAAGTGGTTCACGCATGAACCAAAGTTTATAAGAAACAAAATAATGATGATAAGCTATGTTACTGAAGTTCGGAGTTTTTGGATACAAGTACACCCTTTTTCATGTATTTTAAGACGTCCTTAAAAGGTCATATTTCCATGAAAATATTCAGATGTGTTTAAAACACAAGAATCGACTATGAATATTTACATGAAAATATGAGATTCTGATGGTGCATCTTGCAAAGGAAAGGAAATGAAAGTGGTTATTAATGCTTTAATGAAATAAATGAAATGCACTAGGAACCTATGTTACTCAAAATCGGGGACATCAGTATCAGACAAGGACAAGGAAAAAGAAAAGGCCGAAGCAACATAGCTTGGGGAAGAGTACCTAAAATTGGTTCATGACACCTTCTAACTTCTCTACTTACTACCAATTCAGAAAAATGGGCAGCACACGTGTAACTGTTAATCTGAAAAAAGGTTCGGTTAGGCGTGTGATGAAAAAAGAAATCTTGTGGTTTGCAAAAAAGTGGTAGAAACAAATTTCTTTACTCAAATTGTGCCTAATCCAATCGGCATGGGTTGTTCAAAAAAAGGAACTCTAGCCTTTCTTTGTAACTCTAGGCATGTTTAGGTGGGAAATCTATAGCAACTCAAATGCATAAAAAACTAGCCACATCAAAGCGCATAAATTCCTAAAGAAAACCAAGCATACTTGAAGTGAACATAGAATTAAATTGTGCACATTTAGGTATGTTACTTAACAGTATAACAAAGGCTTACTCTAAATCATTGTCACTCTGGGTTCTTCCAGTCTCCTGTGCATATGATTGTTTCCTCGAATACATGAAATTGAAAACATAAACATACCAGCACATGATCGCAAAACTGAAGAAGCTTTGTTTTTCAACCTGGTAAATTTTGTACCGGATTCAAACATGTGAAAATAATAAACTTAATTAAAAGGAATAAAAAAGCAACTTCTGACAAGTTAAACACAACCCAGGCATAGGTGAATAGTAAAGAAATCCATACTTTGACATGTTAAACCTGGATTACTACGGCCAAATGCCATAAAACAAAACACCCTAGTTCTAACCAATTGAACTCACAATTCAAAGAAATTTCAGGCATGAAAATCCACAAAAAACAACAATATTAAAACAAAGTGAACCTCTTAAGTCACAAAAGAACATGCAACATCCAAATAAAAGGCACCCCTAAAGCAATTGAGATAAAAGTAGCTTACATTTCCTTCATATTTTCAACTTCTGCTCGAGATTGAGCATCCTGGGAAAGCAAAATACAGGATTTTCCCATTGGCAAGGAGAAATCGCCAGTGTATTCTGTTTTCTTTAACCTTGAGTGAACACAGGAGTCTTTAGATTTTCTGTTTCCCCCTATGTTAGAGAGCATCTTTCGGCTTGTCATTGGAACAGAGTAATCAGAAGAGTCATCTGATTTTCTTTTTGGCCCTGGGAAATTACAGAATCTTCAGATATTCTCCTTGGCCCAGAGAAATTACAAGAATTTCATATTTCTCTTGCTCCTGAGACATCATAAGAATCCTCTGATTTTCGCTTGCCCCTAAAACATCATAAGAATCCTCTGATTTCTCATTGGCACTGAAATAGCACAAGGGTTCTCTGAACTTTTCTTTTGCCTTGGTTATTAGAGATATCAGAAAGAGCAGTATCAATCTGACCTACAACTGCACGCTCCTGGTTCCATTAACTACAAAAGATCTGATTTATTTCCATTTGACAAGC